GTATCACGATATGGTATATTAGAACCAACTGCATGTGAACTAGATTGCCCCGATCTATTTTTCGAAGATTGCAGTATGGTTTCTCCTACGATTTGCTACACAGACATACTCTCGTGAGTTTTTCAAAGTCTTTAACTGTTTCTCGACAAGTCCCAATTGTCTACATCACCGGTGATCTGCGACTTTGCAACGTTCATATCTTCGGATCGGTGCATCGTATGAAGACAAAAATACTACCATTCGATTCCGCGGGACAATGTCTCCTCAGCACTCGTCCTTCCAGATCCTTCAATTTTGATGGGCTTAAAAAACTGTTCGCTTCTTATTTTACAAAATTGAACTCGAAATCTCTTGTTTTCTCTGTATACTATTCTCGCTCTTCTTCGTTTACTCCTTCCTAGCTTATGGCAAGAATTAGACCATTTAGACCTTTTTCAATGAAGCCGTTTTGAGGCTGAAAACTAGCTATTGCCCGACAGAGGACTGAAGCACAAGCAGAATGGTGTATTAATAATCGTTTCTATTTCTGTAGATCTCAAAGAAATTGCTCACATGAAGAAAAGGTGAGACAACTATATAATATTTATAATTTTTTGTATTTTAATTTGAAGAATGTCTGAAAATGTGAATTATTTTCTTTGTCCCGTCTTCATATAAGTCATTATATGCTCCAACAGTTTTAGAGGAGCAATGATCACTCTCGCTTTAAGGGCAAAAATGTTCCGTTTTTAATTGAATCGTCTTAAAAGTTATAATCAACTCTGTTCTTATAAAATGGAGTAGATCCAATTATTTGATAGAATTATTTGATAGATCCAATTATTTGTCTGTACTTTTGGCACCTACTTGGTATGCAATCGTTTCAGTACATAACAATACCAGTACAACCTAATTTGTGGCTGCTGTCACCACAGCAGCCACAATTTTCCGAGTTCGCTTAATTTGAAAAGGCAAGGCAGAATTTTAGGCACATTCTGTTTATGTCTCCTAGCAAGTCGTGCTTAACTTGTCGGCAGCGAGTATGTCTTTTAGTATTTTTATTCACGAAATATCTGGAAAAAACCACCCCAGGAAAACGTTATTAATCTTCCAGGATAAAAAACAACAACAATGTTTGTAGCTTAATTAAAAAAAAGGAACCAATTTTGTTCAGGCAATTGTGCGAAGACAGTGTCAATCGTACCATTTCGTAATTTCTTTTCGTCTTATGCAACGGTTGGAAAGTATTTCTGTTTAAATACTTATTAGCTAAAATACGATTCGAATGCTAGTGTGAAGGCGGTACTGTTCAACATACTTTATGTGCTGTCTAATCTATATATTTTGTGTTCTTGAACAATTCGCACGTTGTACATTTATTAAGATAGTATAAAACTTGATCTTCTTCGCCGTCAATAAATTCGTTCTTGGACTCCATGAGAACTCTCGCTACACTCGTGGAATACACGTCTGAGTATAAAATATATTTATAACAAAAAACATCAATTTCATCTTAGGTTCTTTCGTTACTGTCACCAGAAATACAGTTGCAATCCGCAATTCAATTAGACGCATGTGAGTCAGCGCTTATTTATTTTTGAAGATGTAGCTTCCTACTGATTATGGTTTAAACGTCAAATCTTTCTTAGGAGATACGACGATAATGCAAATATCATTGACGATAACAGCAAGAAAGATCACTTCGCAGGAATCATATCACCGTCCAGGAACGAAGAAACATATGTTTTCCGTCCTCCTAGCGGGGAATTTAACCAGCTCGTTTGGATTGACCGTTCGTCTACACCGTCTGAAGGTAGAAAGCATCCCGAAGTTAACGGCGACGTAGTTGTGAAAGAAGATACCCCGGAACATGAATACGAAAGTCCTCCACCAAGTCCTTCAAGGGCAGTTGATCAAATAGAAAAATTGTTAACCAACACCAGACAGACGTGGGAAACGGAGTCTAGCGGCGAGGATGACACTGAAGAAGGGTCAGAACCAAGAAAACCAGACGTGGACGAATACGTTGTACATAGTAAGTCAACGTCTCGTGAGGACATTGGAAGTGAAGAGGGTTCAGTATATAAACGATTAAGTCGCACATTTAGTGAAGAAATGGAGTATCCTCGACAAGAATGTGTACCGGAAGAAGAAGAAGAGCCGTCAAAAACGCACAAACCGCCATATCGGAAGGAAGATGAAGAAGCAATTAAGAGTGAACCAGTGCATATTACAGCAAGTTGCAAGCAAGAAGAGTTGAAGGCTAATGGACAAGTGCAGAGTCCTTTGGTGTTGAGGAGAAGTCAACAGTACGTTCATCATTATGACAAAGAGTTTGGACAGGTAGGGTTACAAATCTTTCTCTATTTAATTAAGTAATGACAACTCAGAATATCAAAAATTGCGCTCGCTATCTCGGTTAGAGTAAAAGAATGCGGTCGCTGAAAAGATATATTCACGACCAGGGATAGATAATTTATTCGAAACAGAGTACCGAGCGAAATCAAATAACTTATTCACATGTTCTGAGGAAACGTTTTGCATTTAAGATATGTAAGTTCTCTAATAACGACTGCTTGTTTGTATCTCGATTACATGTAATGTTGGCAAAATCGTATAGCCGTATTCGAAGTATGGTTAAATAACTGGACAATAATAATTTACTTCCAGAAGAGTACCAGTGAAATTCTATTTACCATGTTTGCATATTAATATATAAACTGATATAAATCTTTCAAACATGAATGCGCATGGAATACGACCTCAAATTTACAACGCATGTTAATTAAATACACATGAATTAGGTAAAAGATAAAGATGTAAATTGACAATTACAGCGCAGACTCAGAACTGTTTCTACGGCTGCATAACGACTCCAATCGAAATGAATGGTTAATGTTATTTAAAGATCATCAAGTTAATTATATCGACCATTTGTTTTTCTACCGGTATTAAACTCCTTTACGATTTCCAGCTGAAATTAAAGAAATTAATTTTTAATCAAAAATTTCCAAAGGTGAAAGAAGCATCTATAGTTACACGTCCTGAAGTAAGCGACACTAAAGAGACTGAAGACTGGCAAATGATCGATGACATACTACATAGCCCAAGAACATTAAGTCTATATCAATCCATGGATGACGAAACTGTTCGATCACCAGAAAATGATGGGCAACGTGCTGTTCTTCGTCGAATAGACGGTACAGATAATGAAACCACTGACACAAGTCTTCCAGTCCTAGAACATGTGGTAACACCAACATTTGCAAGAACAGTTGATCGTAGTGTTGTCAATGAAGAATTTGACAGTTTGTTTTCAAACGATACCTTGGAAGATGAGCCAGGTAATTGGGTTTCTAATGTAACACTTTGAAACGACATATAGTTGTCTCTCACACGTGAGGTTGACGCTGATAAGAACCAGAAATGTGTCGGTAATATTGAGACATGGCTGTAATTATTATCCCCGTGCCAACGGCGCGGAGCGCCATTCCGGCCGTAAGCCCGGGGCGAGGGTACTAATTCCGCCCGTCTATTTACACCCGGGGAAACGAAAGCATTAACAAAGTCTAAAGTTCATTGTTTCAACTGTTTATGTATGACTTTGTATTTTATAATTAATGCAGACTTTGTTGTTCATTTTCAAGTGTTGCCTAAGTATTGTATGCGAAAGTTTCTTAGTTAAATTAACTTTTGTAGAAGTTCATGACAAAAAGGAAAGCAAATTATTTTCATTAGCGTCCTGTACGAATTAAATTTATTTCATTTCAAAGTGCGAGTAATAAGTTGAAGCTCGAGTTGAGGAGTTTTATTATAAATATCGGCAAAAAGCAGATAAGTTCAATTCACATTTAAAAACGTTTTACGTAGAGTTTCGTTTTGAATTTTACATCAAAATAACGCCCATAGAAACCAAAATAATATACCTACTTTATATATTTTAGAAATTGATAGTTCTGTATTTAAAAGTGTTCAAATTTCATCTATTTTTTGCAGGTTTGTACAAATTTTAAAAAAAATTATCGTGTTCCCATGACTAACATGACGTGGCAACGTGAGCCTGCGTTCAGTGTTGGCGTAATACGAATACTTCATGTTGAAACAATGTTTGGAAAATATAGGCGAGGGGTTGTTGCCTGCACGTATTTCTTGTTATTTTTTTGAAATCAGCAATATTGAAATTTGAAGTACACATTCGGTATTATTAGAACGGCGGACGTCAATTTATCACAGTAATGTTTGGCTTAATTTAGAATATTCAATTGCAGTCTACATTTCACTTAAAATTTCGCATTCAGTCACATGCTTAAGTCGTAAATGAAAGTGGGGAATAAACAAAACCGTATCGTCTTTCTAGTACGGCCACAAAATTCAGCTAAAAATATATTAGCGAATACATATTTACGTGTTCTACTGTCCAATGTTATTTCATCTTCGTGAGATGATCAGACAAGTACCTTATAAGGGTAATTAAGGGACCGGTCATTATTTATGGAAGGGGGGAGGGAAATTTTTTCTTTCCTAAGTTTTTAAAACTGAAAGCCCCTCCTTAAAAGAGCATAAATTCGATGATGACCCCCCTGCATATTAGAATATGTTTACTTGACCCACCCCCCTCCCCCAATTTTCAATTTTACTCGTCAAATGGGGATACCCAGGCTTTATAGTGTTAATTATTAAATAAGAATATGGAACTGACAAGATATTAACGTCGACCAAAAACATATATTAGCAGAAAATCATAATTAAAAGAGGAGTATTTTTTATATATAACACTAAAATCAGGTTTCCATTTGGTCTGGGCGATTGTAACCATGTTTAACGGCAGAATATTAGTCTTTGGAGGCAGATGCCGTTTGTGATCCAAGGCTGCAATTAGATTTGATGGCACGAAGTATTGCCATAGCAGCTGCGCAGCAACAATGAGAACAACGATCAGTAATATTGGCAGCAAAAGGAGACAGCCATGACAATTCTGCCAAGGCATACCTGCAAAATACAATGTATAGTGGTCTATGCATCCTATTTTATGTGAGATTAAAAATTATATAAAATAAAATGACATACTACCAGATAAAATCCTTTAGTGAACATGGGTGGGTGGGTGGTTGGGTGGGGGGGGAAAGCTATCGAAGCGCTAAACTTGCTGCAGCTAGGCAAAGCATACAATGGCAGAATGACTACCCAGACAGAAGCACTGATCACAAGGTGCGAAACAACCCCCTTTGAGCGATATGACGTCACAGACTCCCCTCAGCGGATGTGGCCTGCATAATACATCCGCCGTTAACCTTGCTTAAATGTATTTAACCACAATGACATCAAGATAGCTGATGTAATAATACATTGTAAATTTATCTCTTCAATCCGTAAAGACTAATTTGCATACAGCACACAGAAGGCAAGATAAATCCATACTATTTCACATCAGTGACAATGATTTAGTTGCAACATTTACAACCAAATGGATACCAGGTTATTAAGCTAATTCCTTCAAATTTAATTGCAACCCCCCTGTCATTTTCTTGAAAAAATTTAATAGCCCACCCCCCTTATAGTCATTTATTTATACATATGGCCCCCCTTATTTTTTCCCTCCCCCCCCCCTTTCATAAATAATGACCGGTCCGTAAAGTCCATCAAAATATATACCCAATGATATCAACCTATGTAACAGATACGATAGATATTTTTTTGTGAATGATTGTAACGCAACAGATATGTTTGTTTCAGGTCTTAGTACGCCATTATTTTCCCAATCAAATATTGTTGTTCCAATTATAGCGACGGAAAACCAAAGTCTTCCCGAAGCATCACTTCAAACCGTTTCTGCGGTAACATATAAAGACGACGAGAACAAGGAAAATGAGCAATCAGAGGTAAGCGATAAAGATGAGCCTAAATTATTGGAACCAATAGAACATGTCAAAATTTGCAGGGAAACTAAGGAACATTCATACGCTGTTTCCGAAAATGTATTTGAACTACTCGAAGAGTACCCCGCCAACAAAGAGCCAGTAATGTTGGACGATACCTCCGAGCAAAGGGCACGAGAAGAAAAACAAGCACCCTCAGACGAACTTACAGTCGATATTAAATTAGCAGATAAAGAAGAAGAACCAATTCGAGAGAAAGCGGAATTACAACAAAAAACAGCAGTGGAAGAGGAATCAGTACATGAACCTGAAACTACGGTGGAAGATCGTCCAGATCAAGAAGCAGACACAGTTAAACATAATATAGTTGTAGAAGAGAAACCAGAATACGATAAACAAGATCTAATTCTCCAAGAAGAGCGTACAGTTCAAGAAGAACGAAGACTGGAAGAGAAAATAACGATTGAGAAACAACCTTCTCTTCAAGTGGAATCAGTTGTTGATGAGGCAGAAAAAAGTGACGAGGAGCAACTAAAAGAAGAACAGGAAAATCAAAAAGAAACGGAAGTTGTACAGCCAAGAAATGAAGAACACTATGATGTACAGCGAGAACCAGATTTAGAAAAAGTGGAGGATGAACAAGATATTCAACGAGAACCAGAAATGCAACTAGAAGAGGGAGTTGAACAAGAACCGAGAATTGAAGGAAAGGCAGATATAGAACCAAAAAATGAAGATAAACCTGAAAGTCAAGAGGAAAAAGAACCAGAAGTTGAACGATACGAGGAAATTGGAGCAACATCAGGTATAGTACAAGAATCGCAAGTTCAAATGAAAGAGGAAGTTGAAGAAGAACCACAATTGAAAGGAACGGAAACAGTTGAAGAAAATACTGAACTCCAACAGGAATTGGAATTTGAGCAGGAACCGGAAGTTGAAGGTCAGGAGGTTGAAGAATCAACATTTGAAGAGGATACTGAGATCCAAGAACAACCGGAATTTGAGCTAGAACCGGAAGTTAAAGGAGAGAATGTTGAAGAAGCAAGGGTTGAAGAAGACATTCAAGTTAAACAAGAACCAGAATTTGAACACCAACCGGTAGTTGCAGGACAGGACGTTGATGAACCAAGAGATAAAGAGGATACTGAGATCCAGCAACAATCGGAATTTGAGCTAGAACCTAAAGTTGAAGGAGAGAAAGTTGACGAAACGAGAGTTGAAGAAGTTACTGAAGTTCAAGAAGAACTGGAATTTGAACAAGAACCCGAAGAGAAACTGGAACTAAGAGAAGATTTTGAAGTTCAACCGGAATTTGAAGAAGAACGTGAAGATGAACAAAAAACAGCTGTTGGACAAGAAGAGAAAGTTTCAGATAGACAGGTAGTCATAGTACAAAGAAGTGAAGAAGATCATGATCATCAATTTGACGAAGAAGCAGAAGATGAACAAGAACCAGACGTTCAACTAGAAGAGAAAATTGACCATGGACTAGAATTTAAAGGAAAGGAAATTGAGGAACCAAAAGTTGAAGAACCTCAAAATCAAGAAGAACGGGAATTTGACGAGGGTGAAATAGATGAACAAGAACCAGAACTTGAACTAGAAGAGGTAAATGAAGAAAAACAGGATATTGAACACGAACCGGAGGTTCTAATAGAAGAAACATGTGAACAAGGGGTGGATATAGAAGAAGAGGAGGTTACAGAATCAAAAGTTGAAGGGGAAACTGAAGGTCAAGATCAACCAGAATTTGCTGAAGAAGCGGAAGTTAGAAAAGAACCGGAAATTGGACAAGAGAAAGAAAACGAGGAGGAAACAGAATTGAAAGGTGAAGCAACTACCGAACTAAAAGGTGACGAACCTGGAAATAAAGAAGAACCGGAATATGATGAACATGCAGAAGTTGGACAAGAAGCGGAAATTGAACGAGAAGGGAAAATTGAAGAAGTACCGTATAGTGAACAAGAAACGGAAGTTCAAATAGAACAGGTATTTGAACGAGGGGTGGACTTTGAAGGAGAGGAAGATAAAAAATCAAAGGTAGAAGAACCTGAAAATCAAGGACGGGAATTTTCTGACAGACGGAAAGATGAGAAAGAGCCGGAAGTTGTACAGGAGGTGAAAATTGAAGAAGAACAGGATATTGAACGAAAACCGGAATTTCAAGAAGAAGAAGGAGTGGAGCAAGAACCGCAATTGAAAGGAGAGGAAGTTATACAACCGCAAGTTGAAGAAGAAATTGTAAAAGAATTGGAATCTGAGCAAGAACAGCAATCTCAACAGGATCGGGAAGTTGAAAGAACGGAAGTTAAAGATCGTGAATATCAACATCATGAAGATGATCATGAATATCAACATGAACAGGTATACGAACGACAACAAGAAGTGAAAGAAGAATCGAAAATTGAACTCGATTCTGGTGTTGAACAGGAAGAGAAAGCTGAACAAGAACCAGAATTTCAAAATAGTGAGGCTGAAGAACCAACAGCTGAAGAAGTTCACAAAGTTCACGAAATACAGAGCATTGAAGAAGAATCGGAAAACGAACACAAACACAAACACAAACAGGAACCTGAGGAGAAAGAGACAGATGTTGAAGGACAGAAGGTTAATGAAGCAAAAGTTGAAGATTTTGAAGTTCAAGTTGTATCAGAATTTGGAAAAGAACTGGAAATTGAACAAGAAGTAGAAGTTCAAGGACGGGAAGTTGAAGAGCCAAAAACTGAAAAAGATTCGCAAATACGACAAGAAGAAGAATTTGAACAACATCCGGAAGTTGAAGGACAGCAAGTTGAAGAACCAACAGTTGAAGATGTTACTCAAGTTGAACAAGAACTGAAATTTGAACAAGACACGGAAGTTGAAGGTGAGGGGATTGAAGAACAAAAATTTGAAGAAGATACTCAAGTTAAACAAGAATTGGAATTTGAACAAGAAACGGAAGTTGAAGGAGACAAAGCTGATGAACCAACAGTTGAAGAAGATACTCAAATTCAGCAAGAACAGGAATTTGAACAAGAAACGGAAGTTGAAGGACAGGAACTTGAAGACCCAAGAATTGAAGAAGATACTCAAGTTCCACAAGAACTGGAATTTGAGCAAGAAACGGAAGTTGAACGACAGGAAGTTGAAGAACCAAGACTTGAAGAAGATACTCAAGTTCAACAAGAACTCGAATTTGAACAAGAAACGGAAGTTCAAGGGCAGGGAGTTGAAAAACCAGGAGTTGAAGAAGATACTCAAGTTCAACAAGAACTGGAATTTGAACAAGAAACAGAAGTTGAACGACAGGAAGTTGAAGAACCAAGAGTTGAAGAAGATACTCAAGTTCAACAAGAACTGGAATTTGAACAAGAAACGGAAGTTGAAGGACAGGAAGTTGAAAAACCAGGAGTTGAAAAAGATGCTCAAGTTCAACAAGAACTGGAATTTGAACAAGAAACGGAAGTTGAAGGAGAGGAAGTTGAAAAACCAGGAGTTGAAGAAGATGCTCAAGTTCAACAAGAATTGGAATTTGAACAAGAAACGGAAGTTGAAGGAGACAAAGCTGATGAACCAACAGTTGAAGAAGATACTCAAATTCAACAAGAACTGGAATTTGAACAAGAAACGGAAGTTGAAGGACAGGAACTTGAAGATCCAAGAGTTGACGAAGATACTCAAGTTCAACAAGAACTGGAATTTGAACAAGAAACGGAAGTTGAACGACAGGAAGTTGAAAAACCAAGAATTGAAGAAGATACACAAGTTCAACAAGAACTTGAACTTGAACAAGAAACGGAAATTGAAGGAGAGGAAGTTGAAGAACCAAGAGTTGAAGAAGATACTCAAGTTCAACAAGAACTCGAATTTGAACAAGAAACGGAAGTTGAACGACAGGAAGTTGAAAAACCAGGAGTTGAAGAAGATACACAAGTTCAACAAGAACTTGAATTTGAACATGAAACGGAAATTGAAGGACAGGAAGTTGAAGAACCAGGAGTTGAAGGAGATACTCAAGGTCAACAAGAACTGGAATTTGAACAAGAAACTGTAGTTGAAGGACAGGAAGTTCAAAAACCAGGAGTTAAAGAAGATACTCAAGTTCAACAAGAACTGGAATTTGAACAAGAAACGGAAGTTGAAGGACAGGAAGTTGAAAAGCCAAGAGTTGAAGAAGATACTCAAGTTCAACAAGAACTCGAATTTGAGCAAGAATCGGAAGACGAAGGAGGCGAACCTGAAGAACCAACAGTTGAAAAAGATACTCAAGTTCAACAAGACCTGGAATTTGAAGAAGAAACGGAAGTTGAAGGACAGCATCTTGAAGTCCAAAGAGTTGACGAAGATACTCAAGTTCAACAAGAACTGGAATTTGAACAAGAAACGGAAGTTGAACGACAGGAAGTTGAAAAACCAAGAATTGAAGAAGATACACAAGTTCAACAAGAACTTGAACTTGAACAAGAAACGGAAATTGAAGGAGAGGAAGTTGAAGAACCAAGAGTTGAAGAAGATACTCAAGTTCAACAAGAACTCGAATTTGAACAAGAAACGGAAGTTGAACGACAGGAAGTTGAAAAACCAGGAGTTGAAGAAGATACACAAGTTCAGCAAGAACTTGAATTTGAACATGAAACGGAAATTGAAGGACAGGAAGTTGAAGAACCAGGAGTTGAAGGAGATACTCAAGGTCAACAAGAACTGGAATTTGAACAAGAAACTGTAGTTGAAGGACAGGAAGTTCAAAAACCAGGAGTTAAAGAAGATACTCAAGTTCAACAAGAACTGGAATTTGAACAAGAAACGGAAGTTGAAGGACAGGAAGTTGAAAAGCCAAGAGTTGAAGAAGATACTCAAGTTCAACAAGAACTCGAATTTGAGCAAGAATCGGAAGACGAAGGAGGCGAACCTGAAGAACCAACAGTTGAAAAAGATACTCAAGTTCAACAAGACCTGGAATTTGAAGAAGAAACGGAAGTTGAAGGACAGCATCTTGAAGTCCAAAGAGTTGACGAAGATACTCAAGTTCAACAAGAACTGGAATTTGAACAAGAAACGGAAGTTGAAGGACAGGAAAGTGAAGACCCAAGAATTGAAGAAGATACTCAAGTTCAACAAGAACTGGAATTTGAACAAGAAACGGAAGTTGAACGACAGGAAGTTGAAAAACCAAGAGTTGAAGAAGATACACATGTTCAGCAAGAACTTGAATTTGAACATGAAACGGAAATTGAAGGACAGAAAGTTAAAGAACCAGGAGTTGAAGAAGATACTCAAGGTCAACAAGAACTGGAATTTGAACAAGAAACTGTAGTTGAAGGACAGGAAGTTCAAAAACCAGGAATTAAAGAAGATACTCAAGTTCAACAAGAACTGGAATTTGAACAAGAAACGGAAGTTGAAGGACAGGAAGTTGAAAAGCCAAGAGTTGAAGAAGATACTCAAGTTCAACAAGAACTGGAATTTGAACAAGAAACGGAAGACGAAGGAGGCGAACCTGAAGAACCAACTGTTGAAAAAGATACTCAAGTTCAACAAGACCTGGAATTTGAAGAAGAAACGGAAGTTGAAGGACAGGATCTTGAAGACCAAAGAGTTGACGAAGATACTCAAGTTCAACAAGAACTGGAATTTGAACAAGAAACAGAAGTTGAAGGAGGCGAAGCTGAAGAACCAACAGTTGAAGAAGATACTCAAGTTCAACAAGAACTCGAATTTGAACAAGAAACGGAAGTTGATGGACAGGATCTTGAAGACCAAAGAGTAGAAGAAGATACTCAAGTTCAACAAGAACTGGAATTTGAACAAGAAACGGAAGTCGAAGGACAGGAACTTGAAGACGCAAGAATTGAAGAAGATACTCAAGTTCAACAAGAACTGGAATTTGAACAAGAAACGGAAGTTGAACGACAGGTAGTTGAAAAACCAAGAGTTGAAGAAGATACACATGTTCAGCAAGAACTTGAATTTGAACATGAAACGGAAATTGAAGGACAGAAAGTTGAAGAACCAGGAGTTGAAGAAGATACTCAAGGTCAACAAGAACTGGAATTTGAACAAGAAACTGTAGTTGAAGGACAGGAAGTTCAAAAACCAGGAATTAAAGAAGATACTCAAGTTCAACAAGAACTGGAATTTGAACAAGAAACGGAAGTTGAAGGACAGGAAGTTGAAAAGCCAAGAGTTGAAGAAGATACTCAAGTTCAACAAGAACTGGAATTTGAACAAGAAACGGAAGACGAAGGAGGCGAACCTGAAGAACCAACTGTTGAAAAAGATACTCAAGTTCAACAAGACCTGGAATTTGAAGAAGAAACGGAAGTTGAAGGACAGGATCTTGAAGACCAAAGAGTTAACGAAGATACTCAAGTTCAACAAGAACTGGAATTTGAACAAGAAACAGAAGTTGAAGGAGGCGAAGCTGAAGAACCAACAGTTGAAGAAGATACTCAAGTTCAACAAGAACTCGAATTTGAACAAGAAACGGAAGTTGATGGACAGGATCTTGAAGACCAAAGAGTAGAAGAAGATACTCAAGTTCAACAAGAACTGGAATTTGAACAAGAAACGGAAGTCGAAGGACAGGAACTTGAAGACCCAAGAATTGAAGAAGATACTCAAGTTCAACAAGAACTGGAATTTGAACAAGAAACGGAAGTTGAACGACAGGTAGTTGAAAAACCAAGAGTTGAAGAAGATACACATGTTCAGCAAGAACTTGAATTTGAACATGAAACGGAAATTGAAGGACAGAAAGTTGAAGAACCAGGAGTTGAAGAAGATACTCAAGGTCAACAAGAACTGGAATTTGAACAAGAAACTGTAGTTGAAGGACAGGAAGTTCAAAAACCAGGAATTAAAGAAGATACTCAAGTTCAACAAGAACTGGAATTTGAACAAGAAACGGAAGTTGAAGGACAGGAAGTTGAAAAGCCAAGAGTTGAAGAAGATACTCAAGTTCAACAAGAACTGGAATTTGAACAAGAAACGGAAGACGAAGGAGGCGAACCTGAAGAACCAACTGTTGAAAAAGATACTCAAGTTCAACAAGACCTGGAATTTGAAGAAGAAACGGAAGTTGAAGGACAGGATCTTGAAGACCAAAGAGTTGACGAAGATACTCAAGTTCAACAAGAACTGGAATTTGAACAAGAAACAGAAGTTGAAGGAGGCGAAGCTGAAGAACCAACAGTTGAAGAAGATACTCAAGTTCAACAAGAACTCGAATTTGAACAAGAAACGGAAGTTGATGGACAGGATCTTGAAGACCAAAGAGTAGAAGAAGATACTCAAGTTCAACAAGAACTGGAATTTGAACAAGAAACGGAAGTCGAAGGACAGGAACTTGAAGACCCAAGAATTGAAGAAGATACTCAAGTTCAACAAGAACTGGAATTTGAACAAGAAACGGAAGTTGAACGACAGGTAGTTGAAAAACCAAGAGTTGAAGAAGATACACAAGTTCAGCAAGAACTGGAATTTGAACATGAAACGGAAATTGAAGGACAGGAAGTTGAAAAACCAGGAGTTGAGGAAGATACTCAAGTTCAACATGAACTGGAATTTGAACAAGAAACGGAAGTTGAAGGACAGGAAGTTGAAAAACCAAGAGTTGAAGAAGATACTCAAGTTCAACAAGAACTGGAACTTGAACAAGAAACAGAAGTTGATCGTCAGGCAGTTAAAGAACCAACAGTTGAAGAAGAAACTCAAGTTCACCAAGAACTGGAACTTGAACAAAAACAGGAAGTTGAAGGAGTAGTTGAAGAACCAGGGGTTGAAGAAGATAATCAAGTTCAACAAGAACAGGAATTTGAACAAGAACCGGAAGTTGAAGGAGGAGAAGTTGAAGAACCAAGAGTTAAAGAAGATACACAAGTTCAACAAGAACTGGAATCTGAACAAGGACCGGAAGGTAAAGGACAGGAAGTTGAAGAACCAACAGTTCAAGATGATACTCAAGTTCAACAAGAACGGGATTTTGAACAAGAAACGGCAGTTGAAGGAGAGGAAGTTGAAGAACCAAGAGTTGAAGAAGATACTCAAGTTCAACAAGAACTGGAATTTGAACTAGAAGCGGAAAGTGAAGGGCAGCATGTTGAAAAAACAACAGTTGAAGACGATGTTGAATTTCAACAAGAACTGGAATTTGAACAAAAACAGGAAGTTGAAGCTGAAGGAATTGAAAAACCAAGAGTTGAAGAAGAGACTCAAGTTCAACACGAACTGGAATTTGAACAAGAATCGGAAAGTGAAAGGCAGCATGTTGAAAAAACAACAGTTGAAGACGATGTTGAAGTTCAACAAGAACTGGAATTTGAACACAAAACAGAAGTCGAAGGACAGGAAGTTGAAGAACTGGGAGTGGAAGAAGATAATCAAGTTCAGAAAGATCTAGAATTTGAACAACAACCAGAATTTGAAGGACAGGAAGTTGTAGAACCAACAGCTGAAGAAGATATACAAGTTCAACAAGAACAGGAATTGCAACAAGAAACAGAAGTTGAAGGAAGGGAAGTTGAAGAACCAAGAGTTGAAGAAGATACACAAATTCAACAAGAACTGGAATTTGAACAAGAACCGGAAGTTCAAGGACAGGAAGTTAAAGAACCAACAGCTGGAGAAGATACAGAAGTTCAACAAGAACAGGAATTTCAACAAGAAACGGAAGTTGAAGGGGAGGGTGCTGAAGAACCAAGAGTTGAAAAAGATACTCAACTTCAACAAGAACTGGAATTTGAACATCAACCGGAAGTCGTAGAACAGGAAGTTGAAGAACCAAGAGTTGAAGAAGATACTCAAGATCAACCAGAACTAGAATTTGAACAACAACCGGAAGTTGAAAGACAGGAAGTTCAAGAAGATACTGAAATCCAACAACAACCGGAATTTGAACAAGAACGGGAAGATGAACAAATCTCGGATGTAGAACATGAATCGGAAGTTGAGCAAGAACCAACAGTGGAAGGAAAAGAAACAGCTGAAAAAGATCGAATCAGTAGAGAGGAGGAACGTTCCCCTAAACATGTACGATTTTCTACTTCGTTTGAAGTATTTGAAAAAGAACCAATGGCTGTTGTTGATAGCGCAGGTTTAGATGATGATACAATGGTAGATCAAGGCAATGAATACTGCGATAAGGAGAGTGGGAAAGACTTTGAAAATCAGCAAGTCTCTCAGGCAGATGAAGACGAAGTTGACATCGAGTCACGCTGGGTTGAAGTTGAAAGGAATCCAGTTGTTTGGCATACGGTGGAGAAAGTTTGTGCAGAACGTGAACTGGAAAGCAATGAAAATGAAAGACCTGCATCAGCTACTGAAGAGAAAAGTGAAATAATTGCAACAACAGAGAATGAAAACGTGCCCGACCGGGTTATCAACATTGGTGCTCATGCAATAATTGAAGATGTTCTTAAGCAAGCTCTAGCTCAAACCGAAGAAAACAGCGATGCACCCTTAACACCGCGACTGGTCCGAACTGAAAGCGGAAATATGGTGATTGTAAAAATGGAAGAGACTGGTGCACTAGAGGAAAGATATGAATTAATGGAATTTGAATTGTACGAACAATACATGAAAGAGAAAGGAACGTTTTCACCATTTCAATTAGAATTTCCTTGTAATGTTGAAAACGTGTTTAGTTCACACGAAGGAGATGAGCCATTTGTACTGCCTGAAGAGTTGGAATATATAGGAGAAGATGAGGAGGACGAAGTTGATTACGGTTCGGAAAGACCGTTACTTGAATCGCATTTGTCGATAATTATGGAAGAACCGCCTTCTGGAAGTGAGTCATTGTCAGGATCATTGGTAAAGCTTCAAAGAAACGAAACTCCTCAAACTGCCGTTGGCGATAATTCGGGAGAATATTTAATAACCAGTCCTAGTGAATTTGACATTGTTCAAAGTACTGTTCGTGAGGTTCAGAATGGGAAACATAAAACCGAAATTGACAGTAGTGACAATCCAAATGATGTATATGTACCAACAACTGAAGACGAATTTATGGTGCTATGGCGATCCCACGATTTGGTAGTAAAGGATGATGATGAGCAACCTGTTGAGGACGTATGCCCTCAAGAACAGGAAAATATTCAAGAAACATTGCCAGATGATTTTTATGTGGGGGATGTTGTACAGAAACAGGAGAATGTAAGTCAAGTGGATTGTGAAGCTGCGAAGGACAATATGGAATATTTAAAACTAAATTTACAAGAGAGCCCTGATGCACCTTCGGAATCATCTGTATCTCCTGGGAGCTCTGTTCGTAGCTGGATATCTTCTGAACTTTCTTCACTTGACGACGAGACAACTAGTAAACACCATAAACATTATGGGGACGATCATGGAATTTCTACAACGGAAGAAGAAAATCTTGTACTTGAATCAGTTGATAGCGCATTTTCTCCCCCTGAGCGAGACAATTACGAAAATCTTGGACTTGAGTCAGTTGATAGCGCAGTTTCTCCTGGTGAGCAGGACAATAACGACGTTGTTGAACAAATAAGTGAAGAACAAATGGTGGAACATGATAGTACAAATTACGAAAATAAACAATTAGAATCTGAAGATAATAGTGATTGCTTTCAAAAACAAGTTACTCCTCCAGAATTAGAGCACCCACATGACCTATCTGAGACTTGCACCGAACATGTTTCTGTATCTACTGAACAGGAGGGGGATAAAAAAGTAACTCGGGTTGTGAGAACTGAAACGACTAGAAAGGTGGTAAAAATAATAGACGGTCAAGAGGTACCTATGGAAGGTGAAGATTTGGAACAATATGAAGCTAAATTTAGTGGTTTTTGGGAAAAAGAGAGTGTTTTGGATGAACCAGTTATTATCTCTGAGGCCAATTCTACAAGGACGATTACAACTGTAGTGACGCACAAGGAAGAAACAAGGCCAGCTGTGATATCAGAGGAAGCGTGTAGCATGGTAAAAGAAGTATTAGCGAAAATAGAAAATGAAGCAGTCTACGAAGAACATGTGGTACCCAGTGAAGAACAAGAAGATGATGGGGTAAAATTTGCAATAACCAGTTCTGTAACACAGAACGTGGAAATGGGTCCTACGTCTAACGTAGATGATCATGTTACTGAAGTTTCCGAAAAACAGCACACAGATCACGGCGAAACAGCCCCGAAGATGATCAATAAAGAACAAGACAATGACGGACACACTTTAAAAGAAATTATTGATAAAGCAGAAAAAGAAACTCCTCAAAACGAAACAGAAGTAATTACAGAAGAACTAGACGAAGATGGGTCGAAAAAACCAATAACTGGAGTTGTAGCAAATAAAGTAGAGGCATGCTCATTGGCAAGCTTAGCCATGCAAGATAGTGCAGTTAGTGAAATTTTCAAGAAAATTGACGAAGCACACGAGGACGAATCTGAGATGACGACAGAAGAACATGAAGAGAATGGCGTGAAGACAACGATTACAAGAGTTATTACACGCAAGGAAATTACTGAATCCGAGTTAACGTATAGGGAAATGCTTCCACCACTTCAAATAGAAACAGAACAATCAGCAAAAACTGAAACAGAGCCTTTTGTGACTTCGGAAGACAAAGACAAAAATGATTCGATTAAGACGTTATTTGAAGAATTGAAGAAACAAGGAGGAAATTACGAGAGTGATTCTGAATGTGACGATAACGGAATTATGGTGTCGGGGATAAATCCAAAGGAATACAAAACTAAACTTTGTGAACCTACAGGCGAAGAAAAAATTAACGATTCCCCAACTGAAGAAAATGTTTCGTATCAGGTTACCAAGAATGAAGATGGAACGGTGACGACAATTACGAGAGTTGAAACTTATAGTTCTACATTCGAGCCTATGTTTGAGGAAGGAGAGACTGATGTAGTGAAAGATATGTTGGAAAAAATGGATGAGTTTCTTGTAGAAACAGCGCCTGTAGATGAGTACGAGGAACATGGCGACGATAACGTGATGAGGGAAGTCAGAAGAGAAGTGCGCGAGGTGACTACAATGGAAGCAACGTCAGAACTGGGTAAGGTTTATAGCTTGTTACATAAGTAGAAATTGCAGCAAACAGCTAATTGAACTATCGCACTCGCAATTAGTAGGGGAAATTACACGGTTCGAGAAGTATTAATTAATGAAAAATCGCACGCGTGTTTGGCGAAATATTTATAATACCGCGAGTGTGTAGCACGAGCGGTATTATAAATATTTCCCCTAGCACAAGTGTGATTTATTTCCTTTTATAGTCAATTTTACACGAGCAATCAATGATAAGAAACATTTGTATTTTATGTATTCAAGCGAGCGTAGCCATGCGCGCCTCTACATGTGCTCAATTTTGAGAGAACTTTCAGACATTAATGTTCAGTTCGTATCTGTAAAAACTGTGAATTATCTTTATTTCTTCTTTTTCTTCGTTATGGAACCATAAATAAGAGCTAATTGTAAAATACGAGCTCAAAAAATGTACAGTTTCAAGTTGTCTATTTTCAAGTAGACATTTGTGTTTAAACCAAGCATGATCAAATGCGGGACCGATGCGATAATGTTTAATACGCGCGGTTTTTAACCAATCAGAATCGAGTACATTGACTAAAATGATAATATCGCGCGTCTTCCGATATTAACAAACTATTTTCTTGTCCACAAAGAGACCAGGTGTAAAAGGTCAAGCCGCTAAAGATGGCAATGGTCGTTTTCCCATGAAATCAGATAATTCCAAAGTCAATTTAACGGCTTAGTTTGTACGAGTGACGTCGCTTTTGCCACAAACATTGCTTGCTAGCTACGAAACGACATATTTGAATTTAGACTTCTTCACAGCCATCCTGATCTACATTACCATTAAATATTAACAGAAATCGTATGTTGGGTGCCGAAGTAAACCGATGTTTCCACTCTAATTATTATGCATTGTACAGACGTCGAGTTTTTTCAACGGTCGTATAGAAACCACGCCATCTGCTACCAGATAACACTGTTATCTGTAGGTTCAAACAGCGGTATGCAATTTCTTGGAAGCGGCAGATATACATGCACGAATAAAGAATTCCTGACTCGAATGTAACACTTACCTCGACCTTGATAAATTTGGGTATCACGAAACCACATCCAATAACTGTTTATGATTTTACAGATAAAATGTATTCACTTAGTGCGCACTCAATTGAAAAAAACCTACAATGCATAGAAACATTGTGAATTATTTGACTTCCAGATAAAAATTTCAAAAACCTACAATACGCTAACACTCAGTTAATTATTTTGGAAATGATAATTCAATTTATAAAAGCTATATTATTTTATAATATTAAATGAAAACTATTTTTATTCACGTATATTATTGGAAGCAATTTCTGATCGATGTTATCGAATTTGTTTTAATAAACATTTTAAATTCCTTAAAAATTCAAACATAAAAAAATAAAGTTAACCAAAGTCTTTTATTAAAAGTTAAGAATGAAATATAATTTACATCGTAACCAAATACACCTGATGTATTTAGTTATAGAAAGAGGTTGTTGTGATTGAATAATTTACCAATGATTAGTAGTAAGGTTTGATAGTCTCCATGTCGCAATAAAATAAAGTTGGGTGCTTTTCCCTTTAATTTAATGAAACCGAAAATTTTTTTAAATTATATATGTAACACAGCATAAATATTACGCTCTTTCTAAAATAAACCGTAAAATAATGACTATTTAACGATCTACATAAATTTTAAGTTTTACTAGGAGATTTTCAAGCGCGTGTTTTACTGGAGCACAACAAATGTCGCTACATTCATTATTCTCAACCACTAACTTGGTCCGACAAGCTGGCTAAAGAAGCTCAAATATGGGCTGAACATCTAGCTGAGAGTGGGTGTCTTAAACATTCTACATCTTCGGACTATGGGGAAAATGTGGCTTATTCTTCAGAAGTGTTAAATGGCTACGATCTATCTCAGCTGTGGTACGACGAAATCAAACATTACAGTTTTATCAAACCTGGCTTTACCACACAAACGGAACATTTTACGCAAATGGTCTGGGTGGGAACTAAAGAGATGGGTGTTGGAATGGCACTGGCCCCTGATGGAACCTCCTATTATGTTGCAAGATACAACCCTCCAGGGAATAAGCTAGGTTGTTTTGAGGAAAATGTTTTGTCCCCGAGAGAGAATGCAGTCGAAGGTCGACCGAGAAAGAAAAAGTCCCCAAGTCCTCCAAGCCCACCTAATGAGATTGGTAAGATGTGATATAAAGGATTTGATATTAAGTTCGGGTCACCGTGCATGGGATTTGTGAAATGAACATCACAAATACTTAATATGTTAAAAAAAATAAAAGCATGAGATATGTTAAATGACCATTACAAAAACTTAATGAGTTAAAAAAATATAAGCAATTTAAACAATGTCGATAAATTCATTTGACATCAATAACATTTAACTTCTTAGAATAATTAAATTTGTTAAATCTGATCAACTTTTAATTTCAAAATAAAAATAATAAAACTTGTATTCGTCCGTGTCCCAAACACTAGTGAAAATACCGAAAATAATTTTAGGAACGTTAGGTATCGACAGTGTCGTTTCGTTCCATATTTGGCAAGGTCAATAAATTCTGTTGCTATACAGGGTGTATAAAAAAAAACTGAACAGATTTGAAATTGCTCTCAATTTCGCAAAACACCGATTTGTATCCGGTTTTTTATAGATATAGCTTCTTTGAGTACTTAAAATATAGAATAATGAAAAAAATTTCTTGAACTCAAATATTGTGAACCAGGGGGGGGGGTGTCTTTTCCAACAAAATAAAAATGGCTTGCGCACAAAATTTAAAAGCTGTAATCACACTCTGAGTTAATAGATGGGAAATTTGTCGGGGTTTTAATTACTGTACAAAATTTCAGACAATTTGGTTTAGTTCAAGCTGTTTAACTATTCACGCAAAGTTACATTTTTTCTAAAAATCAGCTATTTGCATGCTTAATTAATGCATTTGCCTAATTTGCATATGTTAGCAATATGCAAATTAGGTAAATGCATTAATTAAGCATGCGAAAGGCTGATTTTTTAGAATAAAATGAATAGTTAAACGGCTTAAACTAAACCAAATTGTCTGAAATTTTGTACAGTAATTAAAAACCGAACAAAGTTTCCATCTATTAACTCAAAATATGATTAAAACTTTTAAATTTTGTGCGCGAGCCATTTATAGTTTGTTGGAAAAGACACACACCCCTGGTTCACCAAATTTGAGTTTGAGAATTTTTTTTCATTATTCTACATTATAAGTACCCAAAGAAGCTATATATATAAAAAACGGGATACAAATTGGTGTTTTGCGAAATTGAGAGCGATTTCAAATCTGTTCAGTTTTTTTTTATACACCCTGTATAGTTAGTGTCAAAGTTCAATTTTTCTGTTTGCCGATTGGTCAAAACCGCGTCACGTGCCGGTCCACAAAACGTCATGTTCGACAACCGGTCCGCAATCAAACATTTATTGACCGGTCAATAATAAAATGGGCGCAATACGCATGCGTGTCAACCATGAAATTCCAAAGTTCATTTTTAAAACTTTTTACTAAACATTTACGGCGTTCTATTTAGCATGCAGTTCTGGTTTCAAATTAAGTTCACTCCAATAACCGGTGAATTATTCATACTTTGACACTCATATACTATATAACAAAACACTTATTTACTGAGATCTCGGAAAGCAGTGTGTTTTGTGGCCGCCCGACCGCCGTTGTTGCCCTCGGCTTCGCCTCAGGCAACAACGGCGGTCTCGGGTCCGCAAAACACACTGTTTCCCTCGGTTTCGGTAAATAAGTGATAAATACAAATCGGGGCTCTCCTCTTCTTAGTGTCAGGGAGGAAAAAATTCAACGCTTTATATAATCTGGCCACCGAACTGAAAACTGTCCGCTCACTGACCATAGTAACCCAATAATACGGCAGTTAGTCTTCAATATTTTACAGAGCACTACTACAATACACAGTACTGAGTATGACCAAAATTATACTCTTTTGCTAGAAACCATTAAGCACGACTGTTTAGTAACTCACAACTACCACCGATTTCAACATGGTGCGCCAGAACTCAGCTGGTCACCAATGCTCGCGGTTGAAGCTCTGCACTGGGCTGAGAAGGTTATCCACTCTGGTTCAATCCACAACAGCGACTCAAATGACCATGGTGAAAATATTGCGATGTCAAGTGATCGATCGTTCGATGTGAAAGCAGCTATTGAATTATGGTACAAGGAGGAGAGGGATTATGATTATACTTCTCCAGCCTTCTCTTCACTTACACGGAATTTCAGTCAAATGATATGGAAAGAGTGTAAAGAAGTAGGTATGGCCTTGGCGCGGAGTGATGATGGAGAGTTGGTTGTTGTCGTTGCCAGATATTATCCTGCTGGTAATGTCGTTGGTATGTTCCAAGATAACGTTCTGTCGAAGTCGCATGGCAGAGGGGATATGTCATCTTAGATTATGGTAAGTAATTTAATTTATTATTATTAATTTTATTATAGATGTGACTGTCCTAATGTCTGGTTTACACAAGCAATTTTGTCGGCGTTTTTTCTTCCTCCTAGTAGATCCGATTAAATCATTGACATGCCGAGACTCAGAATTGTGCGCCGATTTCATGAAAATGTCCAGTTAATCTTTAATCTTTAAAATTCTTTAATTAAGCAAGGTAGCCATTCAGCATGCTACGCTGATTTTCAATGGGCGGCCATTCAGCATGCTACGCGGATTTTCAATACTATCTGAAAGCGTCTACTTTCGAACAGCGCCGTAAGTAGATGCGATAATGGGGGGTATATTCATATATTCATGTTCACATACCGAAAAACAATTGCGAGCACACCACGCGAATATATTAATATGCACCCCACCCCCAATTATCGCGTCTAGGAATAGCCCGGCCTGCTTCCGAAAATATATTATTTACTTTTTCTGTGAGTTCACTCGTCTGCATCCGTCAGGAAGACAAAAGTAGTCTTTTTTATTTATAACGCTAATTCAGGACATGGAAAGATCATCGTAAATACAAACTTTCCTTGACTTCATGTGGTAATTAATGAAAATGTGACATTGGATCGAGGTTTGTCTTTGATTGAAAGATTCTCGTATATATTCCGTATTTCATTTTCAATTTCTACATTCAACGATTTGGATCTTCAAATCCGATTATCGATGTTCAATTTCATTTCACAAAATCTTAAAGTAAATTCGAATCTGACGAATCCACCTCAACAAATGGATTTTTCGAATTCAATCTGAAACTTGATTAGGATTCAACGTTCCTTTTGAGCTTCTGGTCTTCCCACATGTACCTTGACCCGACGGAAATGCATAGTGCATAGTGGGACAGAAAACGTATTGTAAAAATGGCGTTAAAACAGCTGGCGAAAGGTGATTCTCACAATTTGTTCCATTTGTTTAATAAATCCAAAAATCCGAATCCTAGGAATCCAAATCTAAATTTACAAAAGAAACGCTCCATAAACGTAAGTACATGAGTTGGGCAATCAAGCAGATCCTAAAAGTAATAATTATATTTTGTTTATTTTAGAAAATGAATGGAATGTTGTCCATCACTACATGACATTGTCAACAAAATAGAGGAGAATTATTTTAGAAAATAGGGCGGATGTTTTAATATTATTTTTGTTGTAGTTATTGGCAGTGCGAAATAAAATTTGAATTGACGATGAAATAATAGAGTCAATGAAGAACATATAAGAACAGTAAATACGTATACTATAGATGAATAATTTATTATTGCTGAAATATTTTAACTATTACTTATTTATAGAGAATGCTTATATTGTAAAAATATAGGGACGTGAACCTTTAAAATTATAACTATAGTTCTAACTGTATTAAAATTAAAATAAACGACACAGTTTAGTCGACTGATTTCGTTTTTACTGAGACAGAGACTATAGCCTAAAGCAGTCTAAGTTCTAAAAGAAAGGTTTGGATAGATCTGTAGCGTAAATTTTGCAAATCTATTTAGGCGTTTGTAGGTAGGAATGCAACTACCAGAAGGATAAATTCTACGTTCCGAGCGAAGGGTCTTCGTTGGGAAGTTAGTAGCTAGTTGGAAAGGAGTAAAAATAGATTAAGACGAGAAAACAATTATTAATAAAACAGTCATAGCTTCTTAACATCGTCTAAATAATATTAAGCTAGACTACAGGTACATTAAGTTTAAGCTAATTTGAAGGAAAGTATGTCAGGCTTGGAATGGTGCAGTATAATTAGACGAAAGTATTTCATCAGGTCGTTTATCAGTTAAACTTTTGTTGCATGCCAACATGCTAGAAAATTTGAGCCATTGAGAAAGCACAATCTTTAATGGTTATACCTGGCGCTATATTTCTCTTGTAAATGTACCAGGGAGGGGCATTTTCAATTCACCATAATCAGCAATCTTGCATTCATAATAGCCAATTCGAACACAGAACCCAGGAACAGTGGTATAACAAAATACACCCCGACAAGGTGGCTAAGGAAGCTCAAATATGGGCTGAACATCTAGCTGAGAGTGGGTGTCTTAAACATTATATATTTTCCGACTACAATATTATAATTCAAGTAGGTAAGCTCCACCTCTGTACTCGATCTTTTAATGTTTACGTACATCGATTTGCTGGCTTCTCTCCCTTCCAGTGCCCAGCTTCGCGTTGCCAGCTGCCAGCTCGAAAACTGAAATGAATATAACTGGAACGCTATCTGGAAGACAGACTTGAAGGCCAGTCCCAGTCTTTTCATACATGGGAAGAGCAAGGTCAATCCGTGAATATGAATATTTATTCTTGAAAACCGAATTAAAATTCAATAAAATAATTCACAGCTCCCAAAACGTTCAACTAATACGCTTATTGAGTTTAATTTAAGTTTTTTGTTATTAATTAAGTTAAAAAGGCATGCTCGCTCTCTGAACCGGCCTCGCCAGGCATAAACACGACGACACGCGTGTATTCATGCATGGAAGTCAGATTTCGCTTCAAGATAAAGATCGGAATTTTATTTGAAAGTAGCGTTCCATGGGTTTATTCAGTTCATGGAGGCCAATGTGGCGGCAAATTAAAATTATTGGCAAACATTCACATGTTTAACACTTATTGATGTATTTATTGCAATATAGCATGGAAAACTTGTATAATTGATTTACTTGGCAAAACTTAACTGATTGTAACCAAATTCTTGTCACATATCATGAAACCGATAAAATTGTATTTGTTACCACCGTTGTATTGTCCAGGATGGGAAACTTCTCGCGGATCATCGATCGCAAAAGCTTTATTGTTGTTGTCATAAACCTTGTTTGTTACTTTGCTTTCACCAGGTTTGTGAGACCAAGTATTATCCTTGTCTTGACGGTACCAATGGAAATCTTCAAAAAATTATATGTATAGGTTAATCACAGATTACGGACGCTTCAAGCCAGATATATCCCGAGGGCCGAAGGCCCCGAAGAATTCATCTGGCTTAAAGCCGATGCTCAATGTGTTTAAATCAAACTTTGCCAATTTATACATCTATCACACTATATTTACGTTTTTTTTACATTTACAAAACAGCCACCGCATGCATGGCAGGGAACACGCAACAGCTTTTGCCAATTATAGCGGCACTTTACATAATTCTTACTACAATAAAACTAAAAACAACACAACTTTGAACTGGACAGACTACGACATTTATTACAAGACAAACTATAGACTTAAATGTTCGTGACTTTCGTGGATCTACGAAACCGAAAGTATTTTCTGATGCCGACTTATAGCTCGATTGGCAAGATTCAGCTCTTATACGCTTGTACCACGTATACTGAATCTGGTTGAACATGCGCGCTTTAAATAATTTAATGATCATGTGGAGCCGACTAGCTTGGGCATTTTATCAATTAAGCCCACAAATGAAACAGCAGATATTTTTTGTATAAATTCGCTGAGTGCATCCGTATGAGAACTTTGACTGTTGATCCAGTTAATCCTCAGTATAGCGTTTATTTAGACGAGAACGAGATCTGCGACTTCAGTTTTACTATTTTATTTCTTGATTTTAGGAAATTCTGAATTCATTATAGTCCAGAGATTTTCCGACATTTCCTCTAAAGAGGTAATTTAGGGGTACACGTACATACACGCCAGTTAATCATCGTACATCAAACAGGACAGAGCCAATTGTACTATAATTTCTATAAAACGTGCAGTATTGAATGCCATGTGGGCTGTTTTCCAGCGCAGTAGTAGTCCGGCACTGTAGAAAACAAGAAATGTCGTTGTCTCGAGTGGGATTAGAACTCGTGTCTAGGGGTTTCTAGGCAGGAGCTCTATATCCATTCCCGGGAAATTAGTTTTTCGTGTCTCTACTGCAGGATGGTTGTGGATTGAGCTGAAACACCGCGCGTCTTCCAAGACAAGCGTCAAGTAGTCAAGGAAACCTTTTGGCGCATTGAATGGGGGAATACAGCCACTGAGCTATGATATTACTGGAGGACGTGCTCCTATCTTCCGTCAGTGAAAAAAGTGTCGGAAAAACGCGGCGGATTTTCACGTTTGCATATACGCCACCATCTTCTTCTTTAACCCACGACTTTCGGCAGAGCGCCTTTACTGATTCTTTTCACATGAATCTGCAGCGAACGCACGATCTCAGAGGTGAAAGGCGCTTGCTCTGCGCCACCGACTCCCGAAGTTTCTTGATATTTTTCTCCTACTTTACTTGTTTTAGAAAGTTGAGTGGGAAAATGCCTTTCTTCTCCGCTAATGGACTCTACAATCATAGATATCTTATATCTAGATATCGTATATCTATGACTACAATACGCTATAAACGAAGAGTATTTTCTTCAGTTAAGATTTGTTTTTTAAAAACTTTGCAGATGGCTAAAAAATTGGTGTGTAATATGAAATGTTGCTTTTGTTTCATGCTCCAGCTTTTGTGTTTTTATTGCCAGTTACAGTATTTGTGTCCTTCCATATACCATTTCTTTCAGGATTTATTTTATATAATACTGATAAACAAGTTTTCCTTGACCAACTTTATATTAAACAGCTCGTCTTGCCAGATTTTGCAGTTAATAATCATTTATGTGTGGGGGTGTAGGAGTGCAAGTTAATTAACACCCTTCCCCTTCAGATGTTCACTTCACTTTACTGTGATAAAAGTGTACGTCCTACTTCCCCTTGAGATGACAGAAATATCCTCTGTAGCGCGGGGGTCTGATATTCTGTCTGAACTATTCTCAAAATTATATACTAGCTATCTACATTATAAACGTTATTCACTTTTCTTATTTGGGTTGATGCTTTATAGTGTGAACAAGAATGAAGCACAAGGTCTTTGGAGGTTCAAGTAGCAAGAGTATAGTACCAGTAGTACCCCCTGGTAAGAGTACACCTAGAAGTTTCAAGACACTGAACAGCAGAGCAAATTAGCCATAGCCAATGGGGCAACAAAGTTATTATTACAGTTTAACCTTTAAAATTATTTATTGTAATTAATTATTATTCTTTGAAAAAGTTAAATTAAAATACTACAGCTGTGGACTGTGTGAAAAATGTGGGATAATTCTGCAGAGAAAAAAGCATGTGAAATGTCAAAGACAAATACACAAAAAAATAATTATAGCCAAGGGTGCCTAAAATACAGTATGACTATGAGTATGTGAAATAAAATGATTTCAAATTCTCGCATTCATACAACTTTGCTTTCTTTTTTATTTTAAAATGTTAATATAATAAAACAGGCTAATCAATAATTAAAAGAAACACTGAAATTATATGCTGTCTTTTACAGTTTAAAGATGAAGAGCAGAGCCCAGCAAGTAAAAAAATATTAGCTAACGTTTCGTTGTTTACAATACAAAGTCTTCAGAGCAATCTAAATGAATTTACAGGATATGATATATATTAACAAAATAACTGTTTAATATTACAAAAACGATTACATATATAGTTTGAAAGAACAAATAAATAGAAAGAAAGTAAACCAACTTATCAGCAGGGACGCCGGAACTAGGCAGGGGGCAGCTGCCCCTCCTGCCTATTGCTAGGAGGGGCAAGGGGGCAGAAGTGCCCTTGGAGTTAGAAAATCCTACCTGATAAATCACATTTCCAGTGATGCTTTTTGTGCTAAATCATGAGGTGTGATCTTGAATGATTAAGTGCGTTTTCTTTCATTGGCAAGTAAACACATAATTTTCCCCGAGCCGACGGCGCGAAGCGCCGTGCGAGGGTACTAATTCCCCCCGGCTATTTACACCCGGGGAAACGAAAGCATTAGCGGAGTCTAAAGTTCATCAAATATCGCGGGCGTGGGTCACCAACGGTGTTGGGTGGGTGGTCATCCTCACTGATCTAAAAAATATGGCGGACTGTCACGAATAGCGGACAGTGATTGGTCCAATTTAAAGTTTGCATTATAACGACTGCATGACGACAGCGACATAGCAAACATTTCTTGAGTTGATTTGATGATTGATAAATTTCTTGCAAATATATTTCATTTTTGCTGGCATTTTTGCAAGATTCTGTAAATTTCAAAAGCTCTCTGAGAAAGGAACTGCGAAAGAATCGGCTAAAAGAAGGGAGCCGACGTTAACGAAGGTAAGTTTGTTTTAAATATTGATTTTATAATGGATTAAAACTCTGCGGCCTTTGCGTATATGAAACAACTAAACAAGACAGCATATAATTTCAGTGTATCTTTAATATTGATTCCCTTTTTTATGATATTGAATTTTTTAAATAAATAAGAAAGCAAAGTTATTTGCAAGCGAGAATTTTAAATCATTTTATTGCAAACTCAAAGTTTATTGATAAAGCCATTTTAAAAGGCAGTTTAGTTTTATATTAAAGAACACTAATGACTTTAAAATGCTTTGCGAAGCGTTTGTGGTTGAATTTTACCTTAAATCGAGGCTTATATTACGTATAATAACATACCTAACATGTATATGTTGGGGAATTAATAATTTTGTGATTAAAAGTGATATTTATAGGCGATTTTTCATTTGTAAGAATCATAGATATAGGAGACCTAGATTGCTGACTCGGCTCAACCGGCGTGACATATTTTGAAAATCCAAGATGGCGGCTCAACCGGGCAAAAATCATAGAACAACATAGGGAAAAACCATGTTTTTTGCATTTTGCGTCGTCCTACAGCTTCCGATCCCGTTCTATCACTTTATTTCGGCAAGAACTAACTGGTGTGAAGGTTTTGGATGAATATTTGTTACAACTAATACAATTTACAAATTACAATTCAAGCGGGCAAGATTGGGCAGGCCTGCAGTTTCGCGCGCTTTTCGTCTTTAGTTTCTTCCTGTTTATTCCTTCAGTCCTTTACGAGTTTTTTCTCAAGTAATGTGATATATATCTAACTATTCCAAAAGCTACTACTGTTTATTTTGTTCTGTTCTTTCATTGTTATTTCGACCAAAATACAGTATTTTCATCTGAAAATTCTAGGGCTTTCTATTCTATTAAAATATCTGGGGCGTTTTATCGAAAAGAATGCTTGAATGTCGGCCTGAATCGTGTTCATCGTATTAGTGCAAGGTAGATGTGGGGATTTAAAAGATGGTATTCGCTTTTCCTTCCATAAGTAAGTCTATGAAACACACACATCATATATTTGTACACTATAATTATAAAGTCTATAACTTACATCATATAAACAGAATAGTTTAATATTAATAGAATAAAAACAATTTGTTTTGTAAATACTGTAATGACAACGTCACAACAAATGTAGTTTTGAGTTTGCTAGCTACAATATAGTACTATTTACAGTTTTAATAAAAGAATATTTGACCAAACAACTTGTTTTGATGTCTGTGTCAATCTGTGTTAGGAGTCTCTCTCTCTCTATATATATATGCATGTTGACAACAACTGTCATAGAGGTCCTTGTCCTATTCAAGATCAAAAATGTTTTACTTTTGTTCATATCAGTGACCCAAAAATACATCTTTCCCTTTGCACTATTGGATTTCCTATAACCAATCCCAGCCTGCTAAAAAATGAAATGGGCAGACTGGATGCCAATCAAATAACTTGTCTTGTCAGGGTTCGCACACTTTCTCCGATTTAAAATTCCATGACTTCCCATGACTATTTTTTTCAAAATCCATGACTGGAAGTCTGGAGTTTCTGAAATTCGTTAATATTTAAACGATAACAGATATAGTAAAAGAACAAAATTCACTTCGCTCTTGCAAAAATCTGTTATATAACAGCAATTCATATTATTGTCATGACTGGTAAATTGAAAACAGCAATTCATATTATTGTTATGACTGGTAAATTAAAATAAGTAATTTTGATTTTCCAGGATTTCCAGGCCTGGATTTTGGAATATTGAAATTCCATGACTTTCCAGGACCCGTACGAACCCTGTCTTGTGTGAGAAACACTTCACACCCGATGATTATATTAACCCATCGAGTTGTAATGCGCCCTGCTTAATTATTTTACTCTGTCTAACGCCAGACAATTTTACTCATCAAGGGGAGAGCAGTGGCACTTTTAATGGGTTAACTGGCCTATCTGCCCATGTGTCTAGTTAACCCATTGAGTCGTTTTGTGCCCTATTTTATTATTTTACTCTGTCTAACGCCAGATAATTTTACTCGTCAAGGGGAAAGTGCTGACGCTTAAGTCAGCTGTCTCAAGAGGAGAGTGCCTGAAGGGGAGAGCGCTGATTGTGGAGCGGTCAGTATAATCTGCAGCCTGCGGACTGCAGACTGCATGCAGACGGGACTGGGTACAAAATTCAGACTGGGGGTATAAAATGCAGACTGAGGATAAAATGCAGACTGGGGGTGAATTAGGGATATTTTACAAATTCCCGCCAAGCCATAGTCACGTGATCGTTCTTGTTGATAATATTAATGTTGAAGCTAGTCACTTTCATCAAAATGGGCCACAGCGATGTAGAGGTATTGATATTATATGAATATTTATATTATTCTCATTCAACCGTAAAACTTGATAACTTTAACACATTTCTTTGCGTTTAATATTTGAACGTTTGGTTACGTTGCATTGGATCGGAACAATGAAATCTGGACGTTTTGAGTGTGAAATTTTAATTGTATATATCGTTTCGACTGTCGACAAGCACTCTACTCATATATGTTTCAAAACTCGGCAAACGCAAGCTTGCTATTGGTCTATATATGTATATGAACTTGTATTACAGCAGCGAAACGCTTGAAAATATGAAAAATTGCTAATACCATGTGCTTGACAGTCGACACGATATATACCATTACAATTTCACACTCAAAACGTCCAGATTTCATTGTTCCGATCTAATGCAATGTAACCAAACGTTCAAATATTAAACGTAAAGGAATGTGTTAAAGCATAGATGGTGGAAGGGAAGGATAGGAAACTCCTTAACTCAGCCCAGCGCGCGGGCTAATATGTTGAAACTTCCGGTTAGTGAAGTCACGTTATCTTTAGACGACACAAAGAAACATTATACGCAAGAATGCTCTATTGATTAAAGCAATACATATTCATATTTCATGCTTAAATATTCGCGTCAAAGTCGCTATGAATATTTCCGAATGAGTTATGCCAGAAAACTGCGCTTTCTACAATTGTCCGTATAGTAGACGATACGAAGGCTTGAGTTTATTTAAAATTCCAAGTATAAAATCATCAGACTCGGAACACACATCGCGAATCAAAGCCGAGGCAAGCAACGCTTGGAAAACTGCCATCCTTCGAACGCGTCAAGAAACGAGTGAACTCAAAGAAAGGTTTGCAAAAAACAATATTTTTCTTTGTGAACATCACTTCGAAGCAGAGTGTATTGATTCCTTTCCCTTCACCGACAAAGATGGTAATGAGAAAATACGAAAACGATTGCAAACTGGAGCAGTTCCGACGTTGAATTTGCCAGTCAAACAATTGGATACGTTGCCTGGCACTTCGATGCCGCAACAAAGAAGGATTATTGTTCGCCATGATGAGCCATCGACGTCTTCTGGTGTGTCTCAAACCCCTACTTTCGATGATTTAAAAAAGTATTTCAAACGCGACTATCGGTATTTGCGTGATTGGACTACTGATGTGACAGGCAATGTTATTATCGTTGAAATGCGTGAACCAGGATACCTTGTACCGAGATACCATCTTGAAATCGACGAATCTTTGGAACTAACTATTGCCGTTTATGGAGCTACAGTGCCAAATAGTTCTGCGTTATTTCCCGAGAATAATTCTCGCCTGTGCAGTAAATTCAAAGATTTGCATAATCTGTTGTGTGGCCTTCAGATCTGTTGTGGAGTTTCTGTCCTTGAGAATGAGCCCAGTGTCAGTGAAACATTCTTGCACGTAACGCCATTGGTTGCTACCAAGCAACAGTCTTCTCCAGTGAATTACTGCCAAACAAGAAGATCCATCAAGTGTGAGGTACTAGTTGAGCAGGGAACTGATAAATGTAAGCCGTGCTGTAAATTTGAAGAGAAGAAGTCACAACCTAAGCCTGCCCTTCCTGCGAAAGCCAAAGCACCCCTGACTGCATGTTCTTCTGCTAAATTACAAGCAACAATCCGAGAAGAGAGAGTTCAACTGAAAGAGTCGCAACTGAAATGCATGCAGCTAGAAGATCGGTTGAAAAGAATGGAGGAGGAAATTAGTTCTCATGGTGTTACACTTGATGATGATGTCAGCAATTCCTTCCTTGCAATCCTCGACCAAACCAACCTGCAAACCTCCCCACACATGAGGCTAGTGTTCGAGCAACAGCAGAAGGCAATGAGGACTAACAAGCATGCTCAGAGATGGCATCCACACTTTATTGAGTTTTGCCTCTCCATACATGCAAAGTCCTCATCTGTCTACAATGAACTTAGAAAAAGTGAAAAGAATCCAGATGGAATCCTTTACCTTCCCCATGAGAGAACATTGCGTGACTATCGTAATCACTTTAAACCTGGTGCAGGTTTTGTGTTGGAAAACATTGAACTTTTGAAATCAATAACGAAGAACTATGAGGGACCTGCCAGATATGTTGTGTTGGTGTTTGATGAGATGAAGATAAAAGGAAGGCTTGTCTTTGACAAACACTCAGGGAAATTAATTGGGTTTACCTCTCTTGGTGATCCTGATTTAGACTTCTCGACATTTGAAGAGCTGGAAGTAGCAACCCATGTACTGGCATTCATGATTAGAGGTGTGCAAACAACTCTAAAATTTATGCTTGTGTACTTTCTAACACAAACAGTGGTGTGATACCAGCTGGCCCCGATTTTTTGGCGAGCAGTTGCAATTTTGGAACTAAATTGTGGACTTCATATTGTGGCAGCAACGTACAAGTGATGGAATGTCAGCAAACCGAAAATTCTTCCGATAGCACAAGCATATCTCGGGTGAGGATCCAGACGTGTTGCTGATAAACAAGACTATGGACCTGTTCCCACCACAGAGATCTATTTGGTTCTTTGCAGATGTACCACACTTGATCAAAACGACAAGAGGTATGAAATATTATTTTGGACATAAAAGAATAACAGGTATATCCATACAATTTTGTCGGGCACTTGAGTGGCTCGAATTAAAAAGTAATAGTTGTAGAAAACAATTTGATAAATTTACAAAAATATTACTGAAAAATTTTATTGCGAAAGTTAGTAAAAAATTATTTTTGGAATTTTTTTACCACCCCCCACTCGCCAACAATTTTTACACCCCCCCCCCCTACCAACAATTTAAGGAAAAGAAATATTAACCCTTTAAGCGGCATTGCACCTAGATGCATGCTACTTTATTATTTTACACTAATGTCATATTATTTTACTCTGTCTAAGTCTAACACCAGACAATTTTACTCGTCAGGGGGAGAGTGCTGCCACTCAATGGGTTATGTTTGTCCATTGGGAACAACTTTGGCCACACCCTTTTGTACAGGCAAAACAAGCTCACATAACCCCCAGCCGTAATACTGAAATTTCGTCCCTGCACTCGATACTTATCAAGAGTTGCTGTAATGGGTTAAAAAGAGTTCATCATTCTTATAAATGTCATTTTTGCATATGCTATTTGTAGATGTAGAATAGATGTGTACTTGTTGGAAATCATGCTCCAGTGGCATGAAATAAACAGTATCCAGACATTGACATATATTAAATTTTGGGAAATGGGTTATTTATTCAAGAATCAGTAGCTACATGTACAAAATTTCTTAATGGATACTGTTAAAAAAATACATTTTATGTCCTGGACTCCTGGTCAATTGTATCTAATGCTAAATTCATATTTTGAACTTCACAATGAATTTGAAAATCTGCCAATAAAATCTGAAAATGCTGTGATTTATTACAAACAAGTGTACAAGAACAATACT